TGGTGGAGGTCCCTGGCCATGGCAGTGCCAGCCACAGGGAGGAAAGGAGCAGAAACCCGGGCTGAGAGTCACTAATAATTCACAGAGCTCTGAGGGCTGCATGGCAGAAATGCCATGGGAATGTGCTGGACAGATGCAGCCCTTCCCCCGAGCCTGTGTGAAGGCATTGGTGAATCTGGGAAGTGCTAAGGGAATTAATTCCGAGCACCATCCCTCAGGGGAGAGCAGGAGCACAGAGCTCTGTGCTGAGCCAGAGCAGACTCAGCTCCCTGGGATGAGAGCATGGACAGGAATTCCTGCCTTTGCTCTTGGACAACTCCTCCCCTTTCTTCCCTCAATTCCACCTCTGCTTTCTGTGCTCACACCAAAATTCTCACTCTCAAAAATATAACAAAAAAGTCATGGTTATTCCCATCCCCCCAAAGGCAAATAATTTATGCAATGATGAAAGTATTTCTAAGTTAACAATCTGAATTTCCTCTGCTGCTGCCTGCATCACACTGTGCCTGGGAGTGGAGGAGTGGGAGTGCCACTGGCTTGGTTTGCTGGGAGTCCTTCCCAAATATAAAGGCATGGCAGGTGTTGAACTTTGGCATTTTTTTTACTATTTTTTAATCTTTATTTTTTGCCTCATCTTTGATGGTTCAAAACAAATCACTGTCTGGCACTGTCATTTATGACAACAGCACAGGATCCCAGAAAATTACTTTCTGCTATAAAACTGACCCAAGGAACTTCTTTTAGCAAAAGGGGAAGAGTATTAGCCCTACATCTACTTCTTCTCTTTCAATTTTTTTCTGAAGAGAAACAAAAAATAATCATGGCTAATTTATGACTTTGCTTGGCTTTTTTGTATTGGTTTACAGAATCAGCCCCACTCAGAATCTGATTTAATTAGGCTGCATGCAGAAACCACACATGTAAACACAATTTTTTTTCCTCTGATAAGTCGAGGACTATACTTCCAAAGATACCATTCATACTTTTGGCCCTTCCCACCTAATATCTATTTTTAAAAAGAAAATTTTAAAGGTCAGTTGCAGCAGCCTTTCTTAACCAGCCTCCCTAAAGGCCCTAAATGCCTCAGACAACCCTCAGCCCTAAGACATGTTTGGAAAGGGAGATGTCAAACACTAGTGGAGCCTATTTCTTATTTCCAGTTTCACCTTGAGGAGGAAGGAAACAAAACATTGTCGTGTTTGGGACTTGCAGAACACGGAATTAGCAACCCAAGGGCAGCAAAAGAGGTTCTTTATAGAGATGATGAGATGCTGCTCTCTGAAAAAGCTGGAGCTGCAGTGCCTGGGCCAGGCATGTCACTGTCCCTGTGGTGGAAACAGGGGCAGTGTGCACCAACACAGCCTTTTTGGGGGGCACAGGGAAAAGGTGACACAGCCAGTCAAGCCAGATGGAGCAACAAATCCTGTGGCCACTTTGGGGATGCAGGAAGAAGCAGGGCAGCTCTTAGGTGTGTCAAAGAATAGGTAAAAAAGTCCAAACAGCAGTGTTAGCATGACATGATCATTAGTATTTGCCTGTCTCTGGGGATTTTAGAAGTGTTTTGTATCTTTAATAGTGCTGTGCTGTCAGATGTGAGACCTCAGTGATTCTCTGGGGTGTTACAAAGCACATCCTGGCTTCTGCTGTTCTCAAGGCTGATTAGCTGAGGGCTGATAAGCACTGATAGGCACTGCAGGTGTGGTGTAAATATTAAAATCTGTTGAGATGGCATAACTTAGCCTTCTGATAAGCCCACAATCTGAAAGCTTTTGCATGCAGAACTGGTTTACTGCACACAATGACTGATAAGAATCACCTTTCTCACTCAGTACTCCCTGAAAAACTTTGTGGGATAAGTGGTTGAGATGATTGAATGATTGAATCTCCCTGAGTGACAGGGAGGGATTCAGGAAACTCTGACACATCCTGGGGAGGGGTTCTTGTGTCCCCTAGACTCTGGCAGTGGCCTTATCAGATGGCTCTGTTGGCATGGGTGTGACCTGGCTCACTGTGTGAGATGGGATGGATAACACCCTATATCCCTCTGTAGACATGCTGATGTATGGAAGACAAAAAAAACCAAAACAAACCCACTCAAATAAAGAAAATGTTTGTGATCAATACAAGGTCATCATTTGCTCTGCAGGAAAAATAAGCAATCTATGTTCTTTTGCAGAAATACAGAAAACAGCACAAATTGCACAGGTTTTGGATTGAGGCTTCTTCAGTGAGTGCTGTGTGTGACTGACAGGTGTAATTTAAAAGAAGAAAGGATGCTATAAATATTTTTAAAGACAACATAGCTCCATCTCTGAATATAGAGGTCTTTCTGCCTCACAAACTCCATATAAAGATGCATGTCCTTAGGAGACAGTAAGTAAAGTAGTAGTGAAGCTTTTATCTCTCCAAACCATTAAACACAATGACAAAAATAAGGGTTGGTCACATAATACCGTACAAATGGAAAATGGAAGAGCACTTGAAATGATGCTGTATGATATATACCCCCTGTATGCTGAAACTATGACGTTAAATTTACCACTTTTTTGATTGTTAATTTAATCAATCAGATGTAATCAGTTTAATTATCAGGGATTCCTGAAATGTTTTGGTGTTTTTTGTTGATAGATGTGATGAGTGATATTTTCAAATGTTGGCTTGTGAACATTAAAGATGCTCGCACTGAGCATCTCTGGTTGAGCTACTTGCCTTGTGATGCTGTGGTGAATCTGCATCTTTACAAAATCAGTGCATTTGGGCTGCCATACAACCTGTTTGAAAGGCTCAGTCTGAGGAATGAGATCACAGGAATGTAAGCCTGAATTTCCTTACCAGAACTGCCAGCTGCTGGGTGATATTAGGCCAGTTTGTTCTGAACCCTGAAAGCCCAGTGTGGCTGACCCTCTGCTTACCACCAGATGGTCTGTGTGTGGTACAGTCCCCCCTGACAAAAGACTGAGGAAGACCTGTAGGTTTCACCAATTGAAATTTAATGAGGAGTGAAAAGAGGTACAGGTTTGAAAGACGCTTTCCTGATTTTTTTTTTTTCCCCAATCTTCAAAACGACCTTGCATTTTAATGGCTGCAGATTAACACCAGTAATGAATCCCAAGAGCCTAATGCACATCAAGGCTAGGTTCAGGAAACATTAAGGGATACCTAGGAAGAGTCATAGATTTTACACAGGGAGTACAGTAATGATCCTGCAGACAAAAATTAATGATTTAAGAAAAAGCAGAAATGTTCTCATTCCCAAGGTTAGAGAAGATAAATCGGGAGCGATTGCTTTTCCCAACTGCTTGTTTAGGACTAAGAAACTTGATACAGCTGTAATGATGAAACATGGGAAGGCTTGGGGCCTGCATCAACACTCATGAAATTCAATGACTGCTGGCTGATGGCAGCAGGGTGCTTTCACAGCCAGCTCCTGTTGGAGGGCTCGTGTCCTTAGAGAGGCACTGGGGAATATTGCAGTGTTAATATGGAAACACAGATCTGTCTGCTGCGATGAAACTCCACTCTTCAAGCTCCACTGAACAAAATGCTTCAATTTCAGAGCAGGGAGAGGTAGATATGGGAGAGGAACCATCCACTGGTGCATTTGAATGGGCTCAGAGGCTGATGCCAGCTGAGACAGGAATCATCACCGAGCTGTTCAAAAGGAGCTTGATTTGAAGGTGCTGACACCCAAGAAATTGGGGTGGAAGGATGCTCATTAGAACTAAGACCTCACCAGGTCTCTGGTGAGAGAGCCAAATGAAGAGGTGGTAACTGACAGGAAATTGATCCAAAAGTATCTTTAGAAACAATGAGAGATGTGGCTCAAAAAATATTTTTTCAAAGTTAAAGGAAAGGTTGTTTACAAGCCCCAAAAGAAGATTTGCTTGGAATTAATGAGTTTAAATTAAAAACAAAAATCATTTTGCTGTGAAAATTACGGATAGATTATAGAAAAGCTGGTGAGAGAAATCACAAAGTAATCAAATATATGATCATATTTGACCAGTGAGTGCTTCAGGTCCTATGTTGTGGACTTCATCAAATTGTTAAAAGTAAAATATTTTAGGAAATGCTACAATTTGGAATGAAATTACATATTCTATCTACAATTGTAATTAAAATGATGCCCTCTGGGCAAATTTTGAAGTGGATATCAATCAATGGGTCTGATCCCATCCACACCTGCTGAGTGTCCTATCTCTAAACCAGCAAAAGTTGCATTCTTTGCAGTGTTGAAAAACTGTTCTGCATGAAGTCTGAGAGTGACAACAAAATACTCCTTGAAGCAGCAGAAAGCCAGGGTGTTGTACAGAAAATGTGATCTTTTCTCCAGGTTCAGTGAGATCTGCCATGGGGCTGGGAGTGCTGCGAGGAGCCGCCAAGCCGGGATGGAGGATGACTGAAACAGGGCTCTGCTCCTAAAGGAATTGCTTCTGCTTGCCTCAAAGCCATGATGACCTGGATATTCTCTTTCTTTCCTGTGATAGCTCTGGCTTATCTCTGCTGTGGAAGAGAGGGGAATTTCCTTGGCAAGTCTCTGAGCTCTTTGTGGTCTGGAGAACCACGAGTGCACATCCCAAGCCACGTCCAGGTTGTACATCCCGGTTTCTGTGGTGCGAGGTACCTGCTCTGAGCAGGAGGGGGCTGAGCAAAGGTGTGGAGCCAGGTCCCACAGCAGCCCAGGCAAGTAAACATGTTTTCATCCAGGAGCTGGGTTCACTCACCCAAACACGCTGTTTGTGTCCTTGGCAGTCTGTGTGTCCCTCCCCGTACAACACCTCTGCTCCTACAGCCCTGCATCGGCATCATGGTCTGCTGTAATACATCGGGGTTTAGTCTTTAAACCCTTTTCTGCCTCTCAGTTTTCCCCCTACTGCAGCCTTACACAGCAATAGTCATTTTCTGACACCTTTTATAACTCTCAAACACAAAGTGAACATCCAGAAGCTTTAAGTAGATGATAAAATTAATTCAAATTCTTTTGTCTGCACTAACAGAGTACTTGTGAAAAGGCATTTCTTAGCAACAGGATACTGAACTTTCTGCTCTGGCCCAGGAGAATCCTTATGTATCAGCAGCTTGAAAAGGGACACAGGTACCCAGCCCTAACTTGCATTCATGAAAATCTCATTGTAGTTATTTAGTCTGATCAATATGGTATGAATTGCCTGAACATTCCTTGCACATAATTTTATGTCAGTCAAGAAAGACACTGAAATCTGTGTTTGCAGCTGGTGGAGTATGTCAGTGCACCTTTTCAGATTTTTTTTCATCTGCAGTTTACACTTGACTCATCAGTGTCATAACTGAGAAAATGTTAGCTCAGACTGTATAGCCACTACTCCTTCTGTCCTCATTCTTTCTCATGGTCCCTTCCCCAATGACCTGGCATCACTATTTTTTTTTTGTGTGAGGCATTGAATGAATAATAAAAAATTCCTAGGACAGGTGCAGTTAAAAGATTAGGAAGTGCTAGAATTTTATATTGGCAAAAATAAGTAATTGAGGCTGATGTATAATCATATAGGAAAAGACTCATTTGTTGCCAATTTAATGTAGTAAGAACAGATAATAATACATCTTAGAGTTCTCAAGTGGAGCAGGAGGGTGTTTATTCTTTTGTGGCAGGTGGTGCAATGCCCAAGCCTGGGTACATTGCATAAATATTGTTAGCATCAAACATATCTCAGAGAAGCAGACAGATGATGAATCATCCACTTGGAGAAGTCCCAAGCCACCATTTAGCTTTATTTACCTGCATTTTTTACAGGCATTTGATGCTTTTGCCTCTATTGAGAAAACTATATTATGTGTAATGCCTTTTCTTCTTCTTTTTTTTTTAACTTATTCATTTTATTATGTTAACAGGAAAAAGTCTTGGCAAGGAACCAGACACCTCCAAGATGGAAATTCTGTTCTACAGCCAGTAAGAGCAATTGCCTTAAAAAAAAATAATTAAAAATTAAAAATTATTTCAAAGCCTGAGAGATAACAATTTAGAATTTGCCTTTCTAATTTGTGTTATTTCCTTACTCAGACCCCAAGGGAGTTTTGGAGAGTAACTGGACCCAATAACTATATGAAGCCTCATATACTTTTCTAAACTTACAGCAGCATGACTGGATGGTTTGGTATCACCCTGGGTTTGGGAATCACCCTGGGTGACAAGGGGTGCAATAAATGCCTAATAGCTTGGAGCATCAAATGAAGACAGGGAAAAGCATTTTGTCCATATAAAACCCCAGTAACCCCAAATAAGTGATCATGGGTTTATGGATGGCAGCAGGAGGCAGAAGTGCTCAGTATGGAGAAGGTGGAGCTCCTTTTGCTTCCCCTGAGGACCAGGAGGAGCTCCATGGTCCCCAGGGATCAAGGTGAAATTCCTCAGGAATGAAAATACTGCCATGATTACAGCCTGAGCCCCAGAATTCAGCTTGAAAGTGCTCAGAATCTCAATGATGAAACTGTTTTTTGAGGTGAACACCTTCCTTGGACTGCTGTTATGGAGAAAGCCTCTTAAATGTCAGTCAAAAAAGCAAATGATAACTTAAGCTCTTCTCAGTGCTTAATTCTAAATTTAAACAGGTTCCACTGAAGGATGAAAGGCCTGAGGCACAGCTAAAATCGTGATACTGTAGCCTACATTTAAGAAAGATGCAAGAAAATAGAGGTTTTCAAGGGTTATCTCTCCTTTTGTGGGGACAAAAATAATTTCTTGAGGAAATAACCAGGTTTTGTCTCCTTACCATTGTACCTATCTCAGACTGTGACCCCGGGGTATGTTTTATATTATTATACCTGCCTTCTTTCTGGAAACAAATAAAGATAGAGGAGGTTAGAGACATTTTCACCCGCTCAGACATGCAAAGATGGAACGAGATATAAATCAGAAAAAAGTCAGTTGTGTGTCAGAGGACAAAATGCCATTAAAACCAAAACTCCAGAACTCGTGGCTCCCTTATGGTACTTCTAGAATTAAAATATCTCATTGCACAGCTCATGGACTTCTTCCAGTAGCACCACCACGAATGCAGAGCATTTCTTTGTAGATCAATTCAGTTACCTTGAGAGCAGAATGCATCCCCCTAGGAACAACTGTAATAAAAGTGAAATCATAATTTCACAGTGCTTCATCACTGTGATTGCACAATCACAATTTTGACAGTGCTTCATTCCCTTAAGGTACAACTGAAGTCAAAAAAGCCCTTTGCTCCTAGCCCTTAAACTCCAGGAGATTATCATTAAAATGCAGCACATCTTCTTTCTAAAGCTGTAATTGAAAGAACTTCTCACACACTAAAAATGACGTTCAGGTAGATGAAGAAATCAGAGGGGAATTGACAGCACAATCCTTCAAAAAGCAGAAAGGCTGATCTGTTTTCTGACTGTTCTTAAATCTGGATTAAAGGCAGTATGAGGTGTGTGTGCACTAATGATGGCTGGTGTAGACTAGGCCTGGGCTGTGCATGAGGTTGGCCACGTGCAGGTAGGGATGAGTTGAGGAATTCTGGGCAAAAGCCCTCCACAAGCAGCCAGTGCCACTTCTGGAGTCAGGTGTTCAGTGACAGTGTTCAATCATTCACTCCCTGTGGTTGCAGGGACTCAGCACCATCTTCAAAGATGAGTTTTGGTGCCTTGAATGTGAGCAAGGGCTTCACAGACTCTGTTGGTAGCAGAGCTTGTTTTGTCTCAGAAGAGCCTGTTCTTGTGCTGGCAGACTTTTTAGTTTAAGAAGCTGGTATGCTTTTTTAGTCATTTGGTGAGCCAAGCAATACTCACTAATTTTATATGCAGAAAAATTTGATATATATCAGGATTTAAAGTTTGTTTTCTGCTTTTGCTAAATGACAGATTACTTTCTGTTATTACATTTAGCTCTCCCTCCCCAGCAGATTTACTCACTGGTGCAGTGACTGCTGCAGCATCCACTGTTTAGTTATTTATCTCAGAGCTGAGCACAGAAACCAGTTTTAAGTAGCTGCATAATCTGGATAGTGCACAGGAGGAACTAAACTCTCTGCTGTGGGATCCAGAGCCACCAGAGGGAATGAGCCATAACGAACCAGGCGGGATGAGAGAAGGTCCTTGCCTCTCTCCTGGCCTTCTGTGTCTTATGAATGGTGAAACTTGGTGTCCCTTGCCCTGGATGGCTTCTCTAGACATTGATCCTCTCCTAAGCTGTGGCTTTTCAGGATGCTGTGGCCAGAGCTGTGCAGAGCCATTCGTGCTGGGTATGCAGAGGGAGGGTCTGATGGATCAGCTCCTTTGGGAAAATGGGAATTCAATTCCAGATTATTTGGATGATGAACATGGCAACCATGAGCTAAAAAAACCAAAGTAGCACATCCAGGATTTGTGGCCTGATTTCCAGAACTCTGGGGAGACACAGTAATGGTTTTTTATATCTCTGAAACACCATGCCATGTAAGAGTGTGTCTCCAAGCTGCCCTCCTGCTCCTGCAGAACCTGCTGGCTTTGCACAGGGGAAGGTGAGTGCCCACATTTTTAAAGGCAGCCAGGAGACTGCAGTGAATCAGAGCATCTGACATCTGGCCTGGTCAGAGACTTTCTGCCTAAAGCATTTCCATTTTCAGGGTAAACTACACACTCTGAATATGCCACACATTTTATAAACACTGCTGAAAAATGGGGAGGTGGCACAGAAGAGCCACAAAGATATTATTTGCAAAGTCTGTCAGCAAGAGACAGGAACCCAATCTGTTATACTAACTGCCCTTAACTTGGTAGAGGAAGGTAGAAGAAAGAACCTACATATATTGGGGAAACATAAATTATTCATTTTGCAAGGGTGAAAACCTCTAAATGAGACAAAAAGGGCAGATTTGAGGGGTGGGGTTGGGTGTTTGTAGAGGTGGAGAGTGAGAGGATGAAATGAAATGAAAGTGTGTGGAGAGAATTACCAGCAGAACAGCTGCTGCCAGGTGATGGTGGGTACCAGAGCCTCCCATCCCCTCAGATGTCAGCTGGATAACTCCCAGGAAGATGTAAATTAACCAAGAAAGGGTTACATTTTGACCAAAAGCAAGTTGTGCTCAATACCCAGCTGCTATGTAGTAGTCAGTCTCACAGAGAAGGTCATCTTTGGTAATTTTATGGTTCTATCAAGCCTTGAATTCCTTAGTTAATCCCACGAGAAGCTCTGCCCTCCCAATCCTTCCTTGGCAGAAGCAGCCCCTTCCTTCTGCCAGCACAGACTCCTCTCATGGTGGAGTTTCTGCCATGAAGGCTCTGGGCCAGGATTTCTTCCAGTGAAAACAAGCACAGAACAAAGCCAAATTTATCTGAGGCTGTGCAGAGAAAAGAAGCAGTAAATTAACTAATCATGTATTAAAGAGTTTTCACTAAATATCAGTACTAGGTGCAGGAGCATCTGAGTACAGATCTTGAAATTAAAGAGGTTGCACTGCTTCCAAATGTCCATGAGGAATGTAGCTCTTGTTCTGGCAACAGAAATCTCTCCAGCAGGTAAACTTCTGCAGCTACAATGAGGCTCCACTCAGGTCTGAAGATAGGAAGACAATGGGAAGGGAACTCAGAGATTTCCAGCTTTCTCCCTCTTATTTTAAAGATGTATAAATGATATTTACCCTCCATAGCTTTCCAAGAGCTCCAGGGTTTTGTCTTTTTACCACAACCATGAAGCAATCAGTAATTTTTCCTGTGCTTCACAGCAATATTAAATATGGAAGAACTGGTGCCAGCCAGCCCAGTACCATCAAACCTTAATCACAAAGCAAACCTAGAGAGAGTCACCTTTTATTATGCTGCAGTACAGAAACCTCTGAGCCTGATCTATGGCCAGGGAGGTCAGAAGAAATATTCCTGTTGTGTCTCAGGGCTAGGAGACCATTCAGTCTTCCAGTAAGGTCAGATTCTCTCCTGTGCACCAGGCAGAACACGAATGGAGTGGTATCAAAGATGTAACACAAGCCTTAAGCAGAATAAATATTATATATATGTCAAATCTATCACTTGGCATTTCTATAGAAAGTATTTTATGCATTAGAATCTGTCAGCCTTTATTGTCTCTGTTTGAGTGAGGGTCTCTGCAAACCCTTAAGCTAAATATTGACTTTTTGCATAAAGAATATGACAATATACGTAGGGGATGGGTTAACAGGCCAAGGAGGAAATGCAGGCTGGGCAGCAAATCAATAGTGAGATTCAGTTCTTCAGGGCATAGGATGAAGCCAGGCATTGTGCTTGTGAAATTATTTGCTTTGCAGTTTAGAAATGCACAGAAACTCTTTCTCCGAATGTGGTTATCTCATCTCAGTGCTGTTCATTCAAATTTTTTAATTCTCATTATCCTGGACTGCTGAAACCAATGCATTTGAGAATCAAGGACAGAAAGGTTAAGGCTTTTGGTGAAAGCTATTCCTCTGCTTTTTTTTTCCTTTTCCTTCTCAGCAGTAGATGCACTTTAAAGCAGCTAAATTCCTGGGGTACATTTCTTCTCTCATTCTGGGATCCTTCTCATATTCCCAGTCTCTGCTTGGAAAATAAAGCCAACTTCCTGTGAAGCAGTCTTTTTTCAGCTATAGAGGTGTGTACATACATACCTGTATATCTATTTGTATTTGTACAAAAAACTCTTTAGACTAATGCCCTAAAAATCTGCTCTGGGCATTTGCCTAATGTGCTATAACAATAGAAGTAGATAAGTAGGCATAAATAATAGACAGTGCTGCTAAAGGCCAATTACAGACCTTTATCATCAGAATAGCAATCTGAAGAATTTCCCTTTGATGTGTCCTTGATTTTGGCAGAGCTACACAAAACGTGTATTGTCAGTCTGTGGGAGTCAGCTCTTTGCTGGAGTCTAGCACACGTTCTTCCATTTCTCATTACATATTTCTCTTTTATCTACCCAAAAAAGCTGTGCCACTTGCTTCCAGCTAGTGAGAAATTTGAGCAAATATTGTCTCCATTGTCCCTTTCTATTTTTGATGCTCAGATGGAAAAGTCACTCTTTGGCCTCATGCAATTTGCTTCGTCATACTTAAAAAATCTAAGGTAATTGCAAAAGTGAATGTAATTTATTTTCCCAATGCCCTAATGGGGAAGTAATAAGTTAATGGCTTTTTCAAAAAACAAAATGTAAGTGGAATAGTCTGGATTTTACATCCTGACTTGGGTTGGTTGTACACGAGGATGCACAGCACTTGCAGGAGCAGATTTAAACAGTCGCTCTCCAAAAACCACAGATTTCTCTAGGGATTTTGGATCTGTGGGAAACACAGGGGCTGAAGGAGAAAAGGCAAGGCTTGATCCTATTGCAGAGTGCAGTGACCCCAGAGCACAGAGCTCTCTCCTGCAGAGGCTGTGGGTCCTGTGCACAGCCAGACCTAGCCCTGGAGTGGTTCCTCCCCTCCCAGGAGCAGGGAGAGACAGGGATACCCGAATTTTAAACAGGGTGGGTAAACATCCGTGTGGTTGCTGCAGCTATCTGCACAAATTTTAGAATAAATAGCTAGATTTTGGTGTTATGGTCATGCACCAAAAAAGAGCTGAGCAAGCAGCTGAGAAGGAGGTGTGAGCCTGAGCTGGAGCTGCCAGGTGCTGAGGCTGGGAATGCCTCCTGAAGCCAGGCAGGGAGCTGTAGGCAGATATTTCATTACCTGCTGCTCCCCAAAGATCCTCAGCATTCATTTATGAATCCACTACAGCTTTCCACTCAGAAATGGGAAAAGAAAATGTTACAGATATGCACAGCCCAGGGAAGTAACCAAGCACCAGCCTTATTTTAATCAATGTGCTTAAGCAGCTTTCTTACTCAAAATCATCATAACCATGCACATACTAAAACTAAGCATTACTTACATTTCCACAGAGTACTTAAAACTTCAGGAATTGTTATCAGTCTTTTTTCCTAACCATGTTTATTTTATCTTCAATCACTTGTTGTCCTGTGTCCCACTAATTTTGAATCACTCAACTGTAAATATATGGGAATAATACTGCAATTGCAGGTAAATCTGCTGTGATTACCCTCATAATAAATAATGATAATTATTTATTGATAATGAATTAAACTAAAAAAATTATTAACATAGTTTCATATTTTATTTGTATAATTTTAAGGAGTGGGATTCATTATCTATATTTTATTTAAGCTGTGTTAATTTTCACACAGTAGTTAACCTTCCAATTACCTGATTTAGTTAAAATTATAACCATCAAAAAGCATATGTAGCATAATTAGAGCCATTTTAGCGTTATTGCAAAGACAAGGCAATAAATTATCTTCCATGTCTACTTAGAACAGTATAAGTAATAATAGGATTAATTTTCAGCAAGCAAGATGTGGCTTTAAATAGATTTTTTTAATCCTGAGCATGGTGAGCAGTCAAAAAACCCAACAAACTCTTTACTTTCTATTACTGGAGATGGCAGATGAGACAAGCATCTGTCCTTAGCAGATGAGGGGCAGCACAGCCTCTCTTAAGGGGTGCAACTTGCACCTCTAGGAATTCCTCTCACCC